AATGCGTGTATTGATGTCAAATGTTTTACTCCACATCAGCCCGCGGCACTGACGTCACGTCACAGCGGTGGCGCTGCTGTCGGTGCGACGCAATCTGGGATGCTTCGCTTCACGCGAATATCATTTTTTTGCGGAAACGCAGGTTTGTTTGTAGATAGCGTGTTGGCCCATATTCGGTGATGGGAAGCTCCTCCCAACAATGGAGAGGAGTCGACATCCTTTCCAGTCTGCTAAAGTGGAAAGGAGTTTCCCCCGAACTCTGAACCCGTCACCGACTCTCGATACTGTTTTTAGGGTTGCTACCTAGAAATTGCCTAAATGAATTTGTACTCACTCGAACAGTGTTGTGTCATTTGTATAACCACGCCATGCAGCCCCCCTTATGTAATCATCCCGGAAGGTTTTGAAGGGAACACGAATAAATAAATTAAATAAGTAAATATTCATTTATAAAAGTTACTTTCAATCTAGACAAAGAAAGAAAGAAAACATTGCAAGTTTGATTTTTATTCCCCGACGAAATCGAGTGTAGTTCCCCGCAGTCCTCAAGCTCTCTCTCGGTAGGCCGTATATATAGGCGAAGGAAATCAAAGGGCGCTGCGCAAACACGCGTCGATAAACCTTATCCGATTTCTTGCGTACACAGCGTGTGTGCAATACGCCGTATCGGGAGCCTCTTCAAGACGAATTCCGTTCGGGAGCGCGCGCATCGAAGCTCGGAAAGCCGGTATTGTGCGCGGGGGATAACTCCCAAGCGTGAGCGCCTATCTAAAAGAAAGAAAGTCAAGTTGGACGAGCGAATGTTTGGTCAAAGTCGAGTTCATACAACTCCCCCCCCCCCCCCCCCCCCCACACACACACACACAAAAAGAAAGAAAAAAGGTCGGGGCGTTTTTAGTTTTTCCATGTCCACCGAATAAAAGCTTTGCTTAACGGTGTTCCGCCACCGTCAAGTAAACTGTTTATGCATTTAAACTATTTTTAAAAAAATACTTGGCAATGTAATATAGTAGGATATGCTATTTTGATTTCTTTTTAAAACTTCGTTGGCTATTTTATGTGTATAATGTTCGGTATGTGTGTGCGTGTGTGTGTTTCTATTCCTTTTACAAAAAGGCTGTAAGTGCCTCTGCTCAACAGCAGAGGCACCGCTCTCCCTGTCTCCGTCGTTTCTCACACACGGCTATGCTCTCTCTTTCGCCCCCCCTTCCCCCTGCAAGCTTCCGCTGTTACGAAAAAACCCCGTGATCATGGAGAGAGCGCTGTTCTCCTCCCCACCGTTCCTGCTACACACAGTTTGACGACGCCCTCCCCTCCTTTCTGGCAGCCGTCGTTGCGAAATAGCCACGTGGTCGCGCTGTGCGGACACGCTCCCTCGCCTCCCCACCCCCGCCACCCAGGTTCCGTTCCCTCTACGGAACAGTCCGCGTATACGTACTTTCGCTCCTTCAACACCGCAGGCGCGGTCACGGACGCCCCCGTTCTACAAACACTTCAGCCAAAAAACAAGAACAAAACACGTCTGTTTCTTTCTTTTTTTATCACATGGAACATCTCGTACAAATGCTCCAGCGAAGCACACGTCTGCTCACACAAGCCTGCTATTCCACTGAAAGCTCCATGGCAAACATTGTGCCTTTGCACAACGCATGCCGCTGCCATTCGCCTTCCGTGCCTTTCCACAACGCAGCAGCTACAGCAGTCAATCGCAGCACACTTTGTGTCTCACTTCGCAATCCTTCGTGTTTATTGCTATGCACCACCGGCAAGGCATATGTCGTTCTTGGTGGGCATCCCCCCAATGAAAAACACGCGAACGTAAACGTCGGAACCAACGTTACTAAAACACTCAGTTGGGAAACTCGCCGTCGAAACCTGGGCTGCTGGCGTCCACCGAGACCGAGCTAAATGCGACAACAGCGCCACTCTTTATCGTTTGTCTGTACTGTGGTCACCTCGAGCTTTTTGAAAGCCTGTTTTTGCGTAAAAACAAACGGAAAAGACTCTTTTTGTATTAAATTTATTGGAGTTTAGTACCAAATGATGGGCGCGTGATGTTTTTCTCATCTTTAGTTCGCAAGGTTTTGTGGAACAATTAATATTGTTTTTATAAAACCATGCCTCAGCGGGCCTTTCAGGTAGCGCGTCCCGACCTAGGTGCATTTTAACTTCAGTACTTCGACGCGGCGCGTCCGCCGGGGAGACAGGGGTTACCCCTCTCTAAGCCAAAAATAGAAGTCACGTGCAGTTTCTGGAGTGGCCGCTGCGGGAGAAATGGTGGCGTTGTGTTCGTCATTAGCTCGATGCTCGGAGACAGATTGGGGCCATATTCTTAGGGCTGTCTCTATGGGAGTTTTCCAACTGAGTGTTTTAGTAACGTTGGTCGGAACTCAAGAAAGGGCACGCCAATCCCATAGCAACAACGCGCAGGGAGCGAGTGATGCAAAGCGCGCGCCGTCATTGGTTGAGGTGACGCGGAACTAAAAACACGAGCGCCCATGTAGGGGGTAAACAAACGAATGAGGTGCGCAAGGAGTGGACCAACTTGCTCCACGACGCCACCCAGCGGAGAGCGCGCGAAGGAGAGAAGCGGGGAGTCGCCGTCTCTATCCAACTGTGCAGCGAGAGCTGGCGCGGCCTGGCGACCAAAACATGAGACGGGGGAGAAGGGATCAAAATGCGCAACGTTACAGTTGTGAATCGCCTGCATTGAAATAGCGTCCGGGATTTCGTCGAAGGACAGCGGAGCATTTTCGAGCAAGGAGTACCGTTTAAGGGGGTTTTCTGCGATCTTTACTAACAGAGGGAAGCCCAACTTAATCCACATCGAGTTTAACGGAGTGGGGAATAAACTCCGACTCAAGGGCTCCTCAAAATACTCTTAACTTTCGTGCAATATGCCGTACTTGTTTTTTTTTTTTTATATTATTGTTTTTTAGCTTCTTTCTTTTCCCTATAGTACCGGAACTATGCTTCCCTGGTTTCTGTTATCGCGAAGTAGCAAATTAGCTCCTAATGAAGGTTGCCATGTTCGTGTTGTAAATTAAAAATACACACGTTTTCTCCGCAAGAACTGTAATAAAAAAAAATTCCGCCTCCTCGAGAAACATTACTCATTTCCCAATTTATGTATATAGAATAAGGGTAATTATGTATGGGCATTTTAGATTAGATATATGTTAGCTTATCAAGACGTACACGTTTCAAACGCCAAAAACAACGCTTCTTCTTCCGACAACCAAAGTTAGCAAGAACTAGTTTGCTCGGCGTACAAACAATGCGCAAACCTTTTTTTTTTTCTTCTTGAGGAGAAAACGAGTAAGTAAAAAAAGGTACCTGCGAGCTGTTCTAGTGATTTCCTGTGAGCGCAGTTGTTTTGATTTTTTGAAGCGTCTATTATGTGATAATTTTGAAAGGAGAGGTTTATTCGGATAGCAAGAAACTTTCTGTCTTCAATAACCGAGAAAACAAAAGGAAGAAAGAAAGGCTGCCGTCTTGCGGCGATCCGGCTGCTGCTTTGCGTTTGAGGTGATTCTGCACCGTGGAGGAGTGGGGAGGGGGAAACAGGGGAGAGAGAGTTTTTCCCAAAGATTGCCGAAGATACAAAAAATATTTCTAGGAATCTTTTTTTCTTTCTCGTTTCCTCGCAACTTCGGAGAGAAAGGACGAAAGAGAAAGTCGACCTCCTTGCAAGTGCCACTATTCTTACTCAAATCTAAATCTATATCAGAACTTTTTTTTTTTTAATCTCTTCGTGTCACCAGGGGGAATTCCTGCGAAGTCCCGGGGAGCCGAACTACTTCCGTAAACCCGCCAGCGGCGAGAGGGGGAGGCGGCGACTGTGCATCGACCAGCGTCTCGAACCCAGGGTCCGCGTGGGCGTGGCCCCACCATCAGGGGGGCGTGGCCACGGGGGAGGCGTGGGCGTGTCCCGGGGTGAACGACCCGCCCGCTAACGACAAACCCCGGCGAAGCCGGCCTTGGTGCCTAGGCCCGGGTCACGCTCACGCCGGGGAGGCGGTAGCCGGGGCGGCGGCGGGAACCCTAACGACCGTCTCTCGGGGACCATTTGCCGGTAATGGCGAATCCGGGATCATCGGGGGCGCGGGCCTGCTACTGCCCGCGTTACGCGCCGCGCAAAAAGAGCGAAGGCGAACGGGGGGGGGAGATCGTGCTCTTGGGTCTCCCGGGAGAGACCGGGCAGCGAGCGCTGGCCGGTCCGGCCGACGGACGGGCGGGGGCGACCGACGCGGAAGCGGCGATGGACGCCGCGATCTGGGCCGAGCTCTCGCCGCATCTGGGTCAGTTCCAGTCACGCCGCGGATCCGAAACCCGCGCCCGTTTCTCCTCCGAGCGGCAGCTGGCCGGAGAAGCGCCGCGGCGAGCGCCTCCCGAGAGCTCGGACCCGCACTGTCTACAGCTGGATCGCCGCACCGGAGAAAAGAAAAAAAAATGCGGCGACGCGTCGCCGCGGGGGTTCCGACGCTCCTGTCGCTCGCTGTCATCGATCAGCTCCGGCGACGCGTGGGGCCCGGGGCTACCGTCGTCTGCGCCGCGCGCGCGCCGTGGGGTTCGGGCCGCTTGCCACCTGCGAAAGCTCGCCGTTGGTCGTTGTTGTTGTTGGAGAAGCGGCCGCTGCGGTGGTGGCGACGGCGGCGAGAAGCTGCCAGGGCCGACGTCCGTTTTTTTCTCCGGGGCAGCTGCCAGTCAGCGGGAAGCGAACGCGGTCGCGGGGCCCGCCTCCCCCACACGAACCGGGCGCGCCGCAAGAACGCCGAGCTCGAAACGCGGCGGACGGACGCGCGGCGCCGGAAGAAAAAGCTGCCGCGCGGAGCGGCGCATGCGCCGGCGGCGCTCCCCCGTCCCGATTGGCCCGGGGTCACGTGGCCCGTGACGTAACGGCCAGCGCGGCTTCCCATTGGTTCTTCTCGCCTCGCGAGGGGTGTCGCGTCGAGGGTGGGGGAGGCGATCGCGTCGTGCGTCTGCGCGGCGGCGCTGTCGTCTGCTATGGCCGCTGCCGCGGCGAGCGCTCGGGACACGGAGCGGCGCTTGGGAATGCAGCAGCACGGGCCGCGCGATCTGGCGCCTCCACCGGGAATCGTGGCGTCCGGGGACTGGGGGGCCCGCTGGGGTCTGGACACGGCGCTGGCGGGGTCGCCGCGGGGCCCCGAGGTGGTCATGGCCCCGGGAAGCACTCCCGGCGGCAAGCGCGTCGCCGAGCAGCGCATCCGGAGGCCCATGAACGCCTTCATGGTTTGGGCCAAGGGCGAGCGCAAGCGACTCGCCGACGAAAACCCGGACCTGCATAACGCCGACCTGAGCAAGATGCTCGGTGAGTGCTTTTTTCTTTCCGCCTCCCCGCGATTCTTTGGTCCGTCTTCCCGAGCCGCCCACCGCGGACCGCTATCAGCGTCGTCCGCGCGATTAGATGGACCAAGCATCGTCCCATTGTTCACCGCGTGGCCCGAGCACACTGCCTTTTTTTTTTTTTTTTCCTACGCGTACCTGAGGCCGATAACGGCGTGCCCGGACGGTCGCCGGATCAGCGACCCAGCGACGCGAAACGGCGGCGACGACACCCACCGACATCGTGCCCCCAACTCCGTATACCAACCACGCAAACGGACCCCTGCGCGAAAAAAAGAAAAAAAAAAAAAGTAAAACTCCGCGAACGACATATCCTACCTGGACCCCTTCCAAAACTGTATACTACTCCTACCGCGTGACGTCACTGAGTGAACCCTGAGGTCCCCCCCCCCCCCCCCCCCTTCCACACCGCCGTCACGCTGTCGCCGTCAGCGTTAGTGTACCGTAGCGCCCCCCCCCCCCCCCCCCCCACTTCCCAGCGTCGTCGTGTTAGCACGTCTTCTCGGTACGACTGGGATGTCTCTGTCGGCGCCTCTTACAACAGCGTGACGGCGCACTTCTTCTTCTTCGGCAGTTCTTCCTACAGCTCCCTGCCCATAAATAAGTGGTAGTCGTAAAACAGGACCCCAAATGCTGCTTGTTGTTCTCGGCGGGGAGTCGTATCTTCTTCCGGTCGCAGCCACGTCCGGCGTGTTGGATACCGGGGCCCCCGCGCTTGCAGTGACGGAAAGCCACCCCGTGTACACTTACCTGCCGAGAAGCACGGCTCGGAGTTACGGGCCCCATAGATTCGGTGACCTCTCCCCCGGAAACCGATTTCAGTGCGTGCTATGATTTGAGCGATCATTTCATCGAACGGATCGATCAATCAATCAATCGTGCGTTTATATCGTGCCCACAAACAGCTCGTAGGCCTTAGGAGGCGTGCACATATAGAGCCGATATCACTGAAATCGGTTTCCGTTATGAGTCTTGTATAACCCGACGAGCTATATCGGGCAGTTACTGCTCGATCGGTGATTTTCGGTGTATACATGTGTTTTGCAAATTTGCGTTTTTCGTTTTCTTTTCTTTTTCGTGTTGATAGCTTCAAACTTGTCATTGTCTTATCATTGGTAAAGCGGTCACCATTTGCCGTGATCGCCGTGCACACCGTATACCATGTGTAGAGTGGACATACGAACGACGCACCAGGATTACAAGTAATGAATTAACGCCGTAGAGTCGGCACGTGCTCCTTCTGTGTACACGTCCAACAATATAATGTGGCATCGATTCATCAAACATTCAATTTATATATATATATATATATAGGTAGGTTTTGTCTGAGAATACTGGGGAAGAGGTCGGATACCCAAGATTCCGACGCATCTGTGTACGCACAACCACGCGATTTCTAAATCCTACCCTCCACGTGGTCTTACAAGAGCTGATATCGCAGACACTTCTTTCCACGCTCAGCTGGACCTGAGCTGTTATGCTGCCCATATGCCGCTTATCAGCATACCTATATCCGCCTTGTACGATACTGAGCCAGATATTGAAAGACATCGTGGTTCCGGTTTTTGAACACAATATACTGGAAAAAGAACATTTTCATACATCATTCGTCCAGTAAACATATACGCGAACTTATGAATACTATACAAGTTCTCCCATCAGCCTACATGTTCTCAGATGCTCATTACACATATTAATCTTTTTATTTTCTTGATTGAAAGTTCGTTATCTGATCTTATTTGAGCCTCAGAACCAAGATATCCTCACCTATACCCCTGTCTCATTTGTACATAAATGTATATATATATAAACTGCTCATATGTGCGCAATATATGGGCTCTACTGGAAGGGTCGGTGCCTTCCGTTGGTGTGGTCGCTAACGAGAAACATACATAAATTATGTAAGGTGCATGTAAGTTGTTATATGACCCAATATGTTCTTATAAAGTAGTCAAATAAAACATCGTAAAGTAAACATCAACATCAATATACGTTCATTGGACATATATATTTATTTCACTATAGGGTTTGCGACCGTAGAATTTTAAACGAAAAAACAACTTTATGTTGTTTTTTTTTTAATTTGCGCATTTGTTTTTGTATGGACCAGCCGATGTTCTTCTGCGTTACCTCTGCTGAATGCGAGCGAGAGAAAGAGAAATGCTTATTTTGCCCTAAAAGAACATTCGCATTATTCAGCGCTTATTTGTCAGTACGAAATTCCGTGTTTGCTTAAGAACGTCAAGCTTTTGGAATTCGCCTCACATTCTCCCGCAAAAACAAAAACAAAACAAGATTACTGTTTTTCTTGTTTTTTTTTGTTGTTTTTTTTCAGCGGAATACACGTGAAAAAGAAACCGGGTTAAATCTTGGAACGTTGCGCGACCCCCACGTGCAGATGGATTGGACTCTATACATACCCCCGAAAGAACCAATACAATCGTAATATAGTATTCTCATAATCGTAATATAGTATTCTCATAATCTAGTATTCTCATATGTTGTTCAATGTGCACTAGTTCCTATTGGAACGATTTATGTACCCCCCCCCCCCCCCCCCCCCCTATGTAATACCCTCTCACGAGGGCCTTTAGGGGTAATATGAATAAATAAATATATAAATGATTCTCTACCCTTATTTAATTTGATCCCAGAAATATCAGTGTATAGCAAGCGCGCGAAATTCCCGCCTAAATTCTCGCACGTATTCACCCTGGGATTCAAAGGGACAAGTCTCCTCTACTCTGACATAAAAGCGTGCGACGTCACTCCATTAACCGAAAGCACCCGCGTAGTATATACACTGCTGCGTTGAGTGATTCTTCCGTGTCATGAGCATTTGATGGGGTCCGAAATGTCAGTGTGCCTCCGCGAGTCTGAACAACAGAAAGGATCGACGAACTGCGACTTATGAAACCAAATACAACTTTTCAAGTCCCACTTTTGTGTTCCGGAAAGTTGCGTAACTAATCGCCTTCCTGACAAAAAAAAAAAAAAAAAAAAAAAAGAAAACTTCATTTATAACTTACGTCTATAATACATTGCCCCATAAAAGCTGCGCACAAAATTAAAAGTCTTTATTTGTACTATTTTCGAGGCTCTACTCGGAGCATCGCTCGGGCCGTAAGCAGAACTTTTTGCTATAAGTGTGTTTCCATGGCAAAAAGAATGTACGTTTTGGCGTCTTAGTAAATAAACCGATGCAATGCGGAAGGTGCATTAAAAGTGTATTTCGTGTGCGCGAATTGTTCTGTAAAATATAGTTTTTAGCGTTCCCGCCTAAACGCATAGACAGGGTCGGTGGGATTAGATTTTATATAAGCGCTTGACGAACAACTAAGATATGCACTAAAAGTATAGTTACATTAGAAGTATAGTTCAGGGATATAAAGCATATTGCGATACATTGCGGCGCACTGGAAAGAGATTTTAAGAATGCTTATTAAGTGCATTTTTTAAAATCATATTTTCTGGAAAATACAGTAATAGTACTTCTATTAAAAAGTGTATATAAGATATTGAGAACATTTTCAGCACACTCGAAACATGTACACTTTTTGTTTTGAGAAACTGAAATTTGGTGTTTTTTTTTTTTTTTTTTTTTTTCAGAAAAGCTAAAGCTACTGCTAATAATGCTATATGCTTCAGTAGCGAAATTAAATTGCGCTACGCCCGAAAAATACTTCGAGTGTACTTTTTGTTTTCTAAAAGTGCTAAAAGTACAGGATAAAGTATTATTTCAGAAAAGATGCACTAAAAGTCTTAGATAAAAAAAATACTTCAAATATTGAAATTAATATACGAGGAAATTATGCCTCAATATATACTTTTTGTTTCATTAAAGTAAAAATGTTCGAATACTTTCGAAAAGCTACTCTAAAAGTGCCTAACTTTTTAAGTCTATTGCGGTTAACTCAAAGTGTACTTTTATTAATAAAATTACAAATTTAAGAATGCTTTTATGAAACATTTACAAAAAGTACTAACAATAGACGCATCTGAGGTTAAGTCAAACTATATTATAAATTTGTTTAATAAAAATGCAAAAAAAAAACAAAAAAACCAACAACTAATGTTTGATGGACTTAGGATTCCGACCTTGCGTGGAAAACTTTTGCGGAACATGTCTAGCTTCGCGATAGATTTAACAGTCTCGTAGGGTTTTTCACCCTGCAGAATGAAACAAGTTTTCAAAAGTGAATGCCACCTGCTGGCAGTATTTAGCGCGCAAAGATTCGATTACGAATTGATCAAACGCACGCTTCAATTATCTTTCTTCGGAAAGCATCAGACTCATGCAAAGTTCGATAGTCAAACTTCCGTTGGGTGCCTTCTAGGAGACAGAGAAATTAATTTTATTTAAGTACTCAATTAAACAATAATTACCGTAAAACACAAGTAACTTTAATCTCTCACAATTGTTTTTAATAAGGAAGTGACATTATACGCTTTCATTAGAGTATATTGTCCACAGGGGTCCGGCTGAACTTCAGGGCCGATGAGACAACGTTCTGTCTTCAAATATATGTATTTATAGAGCGCGCACCAATTGTATTTCACTGAAAATCCTTTTCACAGCACAAATGACAAATCTTTCAAGTTAGCCCAAAACCCGTATTTATGCAGCTTTCAAACGGGCATTTCAGACTGCACTCCCTAGTACCAAGCCCGACCAAAATTATTTCCGTGAAATTGCTGCACTGGCACAATTAATTGCGCAAGCGTAAATCACCTGACATACGAAGCCATAGATTTCATTCTGCGGAGAAAGAAATGCCATTTATAAAATTAGCGTTTAATTGGTTTATCAAACAGAAGTCTTCGCCACCTTCAAATGCCCGGATTTCCAGCTCAAAGGCCAATTTTCCGGATCTTCGAGCGCTGTCAAAATGCGCAGCTGTCGCACATCCTGGTTTTGTATCGCGGTCGCTTCTAACGCAACGAAGCGTGAAAATTCCGGGTGCT